CATTTCCCCTCTTCCTGACGGGTTAGCCAATCAGAATGCTACTTCCCTGCCCACGACTTGACCATGAGCTCAGAGCGTGATCAATTAGCATACAGTACTTAGTCTCCTGTATCAATTAGCATACAGTACTTAATCTCCTGTATCAATTAGCATACAATACTCAGTCTTCTGTTGTCCATGATTCAATCAACATACATCACTCAACTTCCGGTTGTGCTTAAAATGTGTTGAAAATGTATAAAATGAGCATGAAACATACAATTTATCAAAGAACATAGAAAATTCTTATATCACTTGGGTCAACCAGGGAGAAGAAGAAAAACAAACATTTATATTGCAGGGCTAGGCCTCCAAGGTGATGACCTCAAATAAACTCCATTCATAATTCATTTGACAACTTTATTCTGCTTCACTTCAGCTCATTCATAATAAACCTAAAAACATGGGTAACAAAAACCAAACAAAATTTGATAATTAACGATATCCTTAATATGTCTTTACTGTTTTTTTGCTTAGTAAAAAAAACAAAAAAAGCTTATGAATAAAAACAAAAAAAGATGACATTTTGCATTCATTGCCCTTTTGATACTAAATGTTGCTATTTTGAAATAATTAAATGAGTCAATGTGATTGAAATGTGAAATATTTTACAGACATTTGCTCCGTTTTTAATAAAATGCTGAAACATCTTAGTGGATGACTGCTGAAATGAGTAAAACATTTACTCTGTGCTTACGACACCACACTTTCTGATTGGCTACCTGTAACAGTCAACAGGCTGCGTTCTCATTCCCAGTGACTGGCTGCGATAAAAGGGCCAAGACAATGTTGACTATCCCCGATTTTATGTCGGAGTTGTCCCAACACAACACAGAGTAGGTCAGAACATTCTAAGATTGTCTTAAGAGGAAAATGATGGCAGGAAATGGAAAATTGTGTCATTTGACACTCCCTCCAAACTGCCCTCTCCATCCCCAGTTTAATTGGCCGAAGAGTCACTTAAAATCGTAGTTTACTAAGATGTGTTTGTGAACAAACAGAGCTAAAACTCAAAGATTTAACTGACAGCACCAGATTGTGGTTGAGGTAACAAAACAGTCTAATTATAAATATTGTTCTTTGAACTCTTACTAAGTAAACATGCCAGCTTTGTATCTTCAGGCCAGTTCTAAATGTGATCAGCATTATATTGTGCTCTTGGATCGACGACATGATGACTTAATTTGGATTTAACAGAATTGCAAATCACTGACATTTTTTTTTAATTGTATTTTTTTTTTTTTTTTGGATTCTATAGTTTTGGGTTTAAGTATTGTCTTCAAGTAACTCAATTACACAGTAATATCTTATGTTTCCTGTCAACAGCTATGGTGCCCCAACCCCTAGTCTTAGAACGTTTTCTGAAGACAAACCCTGCACATGCCATGCAATGTTGCAGTTTCTCACATTCTGTTGTGTGTAGGTTGGAAGGTCTGTAAAATAGTATAGTTGTATCTTTGTCAGATGATGAATTGCTGCATATTTGTTGGCTCCATGTTGATGATACAAAAATATTCCACCTCACAGCATCCCAAATGTTCTTTAAAGGATTGAGATTTACTGACTTGGAGTGTTACGGGCACAAAGGCCATCAAAGAAGAATGAGTGGATACAACACCAGTAACCATTTGAAGCACTTTAGAGGCCTTTATTTTTAAAACACGAGTCAAGAGTATGTGGGCACCATCCCAGACATGTAGACAGAAGCCCAGGCATGTTGGCATATACCTGGGAACCACTGAACTGACATGTGCACGCCTCCTTCTGGCCCTCTGTCGTGTGCAGTTTTTCTTCAAACATGGACCCATTGGCCCCTTCAGGTGTAGGCAACTGCTCTAAGGTGTGGACCTCCTTCAAGTGTGGGTGAGTGGCTCCTCTCCAAGTATTGAGCCAGAACCTTCCATGCCTGTGTGTCTGTCTCAAATCTCCACTTGTCTCACACTGCTCACTCGTTGGCCATGTGGAACAGAAGCCCTTGGCCCAAATAGACCAAAGTCCCCATGTGACTTTAGGACCCTCACATTCTGGTACCTTAATGGAAGCACAATTAGCAGTCACAGGAGGGCATTGGAGTACAGTGAATTCATTGTCATTTTTATCAGTGAAGAAGATTACTGACTTTTTATAGGGAGAAACTTCCGTCAAAACCGTACTTGGGATAACTGCCTGTGTCCTAGAAATACCTGATTCCTTTGGTAGCCCTTCATTGAAAACCTTGAATCGCTCTTAGTCTGATCCCTCCCCAATGGCAGCCTGCCCTGGGAAGCCTCACTATTGGCTGAACCCCAAGACAAAATCTCCATCTGGGTCATGGGGATACTCAAACCCCTCCACCACGTTAAGGTGGCGATTCTGCGGAGGGGTCACCAGCAGATCGCGATGGATGTTTAATCCAAGGGATCCCCCATCCTAAGCAAGCACAAGGCAACAGTGGAGAGGAAAACTCCCTTTAAAAGGAAGAAACCTCCAGCAGAACCAGGCTCAGGATGAGCAGCCATCTGCCGAGGCTGGCTGGCTTCAAGAGGGCAAAAATAAAAAACACACAAACACAAAACTGTCAACAAACCTTCTGAAAGAAAGACAGATTCAATTACAATATTAGTTTACAATACACATGTTACAAAAGGTAGATCTGGGAAAGTCTATACAATAGATATTAACAGAAAATAGTCTGAACCTGTAGCAGTAAACTACCTCTCACTGGAATCAGTCCCGAAAGAATAACATGAAACAAAAAGTTAAACTTCAATATTTGTGAAAGAACTTAAAGAATTGTGTTAGTGCATCATTATCTACAAAATCATGTTGCTGTATTCCCATATCCTGGACAGACAATCTTTAATTTGATTAAGAGTATAAGTTTGTGTTTGAATATGTTAATGTTATCAGAAAGTTTATGTCGTTATGTTGTCAACCATGCAGCACATACTCACAGCTGAGGAGATTTTGGGCAGACCAATTAACCGAACAGCTAAAGTTTTATTGTGGGAGGAAGCCGGAGCACCCAGAGAGAACCCACAAATCCTACTTTTATTATTTCTGTGGGAGGAAGCCGGAGCACCCAGAGAGAACCCACAAATCCTACTTTTATTATTTCTGAGGGAGGAAGCCGGAGCACCCAGAGAGAACCCACAAATCCCACTTTTATTACGTCTGAACCTCTTTCTGAAAGGTAACAGTGCTACTAACTGTGCCATTGTGCTACTTACGGTTGACTGTGAGGACTTTTTGTGAGGAATTAAAATTAATTGTGTAAACATATACAAAAGAAATATATCAAAGGGTAAAAAAATATTTTTCTCCATATGTCATCCATTTCTCCTCCTCGTCATTTTGCAAGTTCTCCATGCACTCTAAAGTTATAGAGGCAGGTGTAGTCCGGATGACCCCAGTTGCTGTTCACCTTTAGAGTCACATGACGGAAGGAACCAACTTTATCGGCCTGTAAGGCAAGAGAGATATAAATTAGGGAGGTTAGATTGATAATCCATAGTTGCAAATAGATGATAGAAACAAAGGAGGTCTGTCTGATGGAAGCCTAGTTCAACTTTCCTTGCTGTAAATACATTTTGCATAGTTTATCTCAAGATAGCGAGGTAATTATACTGATATCTTGCTAACCAGAAAACAAAATGTTTTGTAGTAACACTGGGATTTTGTTGTTTGTTATACAGAGACAATAAAATTATTGTTTTGTGAAAAGTGTTGTGACTTTTTTACACTTTTATTTATTTTAAGTACAATTTGCATTTAAATGACTTCCTTACAATTGTATGTTGAGCATAATTTACATGATGATTATTATTAATTTAAATTAACATGATTGTAAATAATTACAAAAGCTACAGTGAAACATATTTAAGTGCGAGGCATGATTTATTTGAATAGAGGAAGTCTTTTATTTTGAAAACACTAAACCGGATGTGGTTCTGTATTTCGTCACTGTCTTGCTTCTGTGATTTTGGTTGCTAGGTAACAAACAGCTGTGATCAGCTGTCACTGTTTTCTCCTCAATAAAAACTGAACAGAAATGTTCAGTAAAAGAAATCCGAGTCTCCGTGTTGATTGAAGAATCTCCCACATCTTAATAATAAGAGGTTGACGTTTTGTATTTTGTTACCGTGATGTAATAAAAGTCTCAACGAGATTTATGCCAAGACAACAATATTTTCCTCCTTAATAGATGGCCAAATAAATCTACAGTTTTTTCCATTTGTTGAAGTTAAACACTTTGTATCTCTGTGTTTTGGAATAGTTATGGTTCAATAACAAAGCTTAATGTGGCTGCATTACATTTAGGCACTATTTCTAGACAACTTAACTAATTGATTAATTTTTAAATGCTTTTTATCAGTTACCACTACTCTGAAAGTGCAAGATTAACATACATTTTTATGGTTTAAGTAGAGTTTTTCATTGAAGCCTTTTGAATGAAACAATAATACGGTACTTTATTCAAAGTATGTTTTAAATTGAATGCTAGTAATACCCAGTGAAGAACCTTATGATTGTATGTTAGAATATATGATCATCATTTCAATATATCAATATTTATAACAAGGTAGGTAAGTCTGGTCTTCTGAGAGAACTGTATTTGGTTAATAAAACATTAATTTGACATATTTACAGGAAGTTTGAAGGTCTGTATTTGGTCTCCATCTTCATCGTATTGGAAAGTTCCCAAATGAGTTTCCTCATCTTCTAAATTCTTTGCTCCCTGAGACAAAATTAGATAAAAATCCAGTTCATTATCTTGTTCTTTCAACATATGTGAAAGTTAGTCGGTGTATCAGAAAACATATCACATCCTGAGATAAACAGAAAATTCATTAGTGCAGACAGAAAGTTTGCATGGTTTAGAATGAGATCAAGCAATGTCATATGGAATCAATGCTATCACATTTTGAATGTATACTTAATATATACTATACATGGCTATATCTATATTACACTTTTGACACTCATTTTATTTGACTTACATATACAGAAAATTCTTTGGGAGCACTGGAGACAGAGGACGTTGGGGACACAGTCTTAGCAATGTGACCCAGGGACACATGTCTGATGGTGGCTGGGTGTGAAAGTGAGACGCCCAAACGTCCCTGGAAACCTGGAAAGGCCCAGCATTTTCCAGGTTGCAGACGATTTTTTCCCTGAAAACAGAGAACAAAATTTAAGTGGGGTACCAAGACTAAGAGAAAAGTAAATCATAAAGGCTAATAATATATCACCAAGAAACACCACTTTTATTTTTTTAATGATCTGATCATCATTCAAACCTTAATAACAATGCCTGGGCCAATAGGAGGTCTCTTGAACAATTTCCCAAACCTTCCAACTTCTTTATTGATGTCATAAGCCTCTGAGGTCATCTTGTGTAAAATATTTGCTCCTGTACACAAAACACAAAAACAGAAATAATGTGAGTTAGAAAATTTTAATACTGAAAATTTGAAATCTAGTTGATGATCTTATTTGTAATGGCTCGCCTTGAGACTCCAGAGCAAAGTTGGGCCACAGGTCTGCTTGTGGCAGAAGGTAGTCAACCTTCTGCTCCAAGAGCTCCAGGTTGGAGAGATGTCTTTGATCTTTGTGTCCAAAGATCGTAACCTGTGCACAACAAAAAAATTAACAGCTTGTTCTCATGTTTGATCATGATAATTAAATCAGTGTTAAGATTAGGAAGAGAAAGCCTACCATGTCTGTTAGAGTTGTGAGAGACAACTCTGAAGATCGTGAGTGGAAGGAAATAATACAGCAAATACATCCTGATGAACATGAGCAGAAGACAACAGTGAGAAAAATTTAAAAACACAGACTTTCTGTGACACTTCCAAATTGACTGTTTGTAGGAGATTATTTACCAAAAGTGACGAAGATGAGAAAGACAAAGACTGATATATCAAAACCACCCTGCAACAGAGTCATCATCATCTGTCTTTCTCTGTCAATCACATTGTCACCAGAATAATGTGACCTCTGTCTAAATGTGACTGCAGGGTGGTTTTCAGGACGACCTGTTAAGCGCCTCCTTATGGCCCTAGATGAAAAATATACAAGTGAGTTAAAATGTACACTGATCCGCAGATGACTGCATAAAACATATGACTTAATGAAAATTGCTGATTTGATCTACCTGATTGGCGTCTCCCTGTATGAAATAACAGGTTGTCCATCCATATCATAGTATCCGTTGTTTCTCAAACGTTCACTTCTTCTAAGCATGACTGTAAAAACCAAAGACATGCAAAAGTGGTACATTTTGGTGCAAAGCATGTCCAAAATGTACCAACACAACTCTACAGTAAAAGTCATTTTCCTCGTAAACACTGTAAATTTAAAGATGTAATATATCAAAAACTTCATTTAATGTTGATCAGAACATCATTTAGTTACCTATCAAATCAAATTAATCATTTCATGTGTGAAAATCACCAACCATCCATAAATTAAAGAAAAACATTATTTTGCATGTAGAACTCCTTAATATTTTTCTGCTGTTTCAATACTCAGTGAAGTTCGCGTAAATAAAAAAAAGGTACTAAAATCACAAATGAGACGTTTAATGTTTACATCAAAAAGTTACTCAAATTAAACAATTTGATGTTGAGCTAAAAAAAACTGATTACTAACAACTTGTCTTGCTCAACTTTTTTTCAACATTGCTGCACACTTCCTTCAAAAAACTGGCACAAAATGTCATTTTTTTCTTTGCTTCACTAATTTCTAAATAAATACTTACTCGAAAACTGAAGCTCAGTTCAATTTCTTGAATTTTTTGAAGTAATCTATCCGACGTCTAACTCTTCAAATGGATGAATTCCTGTAGGAACTCGGCTCTTATTGACAAAAGTTCCAAAAGCGCCTGATGACAAGTCAGCTTATGTGACATCAGAATGCTCCACAGAACCTGCCCACAATTCATTTCTGCCTCTTTTAAATTCATTTAAAGCATTTTAAAAATTAAGGTACGAAAAAAAAATTATCTTGTTAAATTAGTCAATCAAATCACTGCTCTAAACAAAATCAAGAAATGTTTACTTCTCTACTGCATTTACATGCAGTTATTGCACAGTTTTTTAGACATGTTTGATAAAAACATTTGTTATTACTGCAGAGCGCTTTCTCTACACCGACACACTGGATTGTACATTTCCTGTTATATATTTACAGTTCAATATGCACGTTATGTACATTTTGACAAAGTTGTGCTACTTAGTTGCACATTATCAAAAAGTTTCTGCTATTCTTGTTATTGTTAGTCCTGTTTTCATATGCACTTCAAAGTTTAGGAACTATTGTGTGAACTTATATCTAAATGCAGCTATAAAACTGAATAAATGTAACCCCAACTTTCTATATTTGTGTATGCATGATGGAGAAAGGGGAACTATTACATTGCTTATGGCAATGCAACAAAACCAGGGCTTTTTGGGAGGAGGTTAAGAAAATAAGAATTATTTAAAAAGATATTTCAATGATCCTGCTCAATTAAGAGAGAGACAGGACAAACAGCCATGCACAGGACAATCCATGACAAACACAGAAGTCCAGCAACAGTTCACCACTGGAGTTTAGATCAGCAGGGCCATTCCTCCCAACCACATCCCTCCATGTCTCACTGACATTGCCCCGTTGCAGACCCCAGTAGAACAAATGAATACCCCTGAGAGGCACACTCCAGTACCCCGTACCAAAAAGGGTGGGTAATCTGAACTGTTGTTTGGCCCATAAGGACAGACAACGGTCAGAACCCTGAACCTCATGCACTCCAGTGTGCATGAGGAGCACACTGGAGCCCCTGATGAGTGTGCACACATGCATGTGCATGAGGGGCACATGCATACTGGAGCATGATGAGTGTGCCACCCTTTCTGGAGTGCCTGCACGTTGGGGTAAACGCCAACGTGCAGGCACCAAGATGGGGACACATAACTGCATGATGGGCACACTGGAGCCCTCATGCACACTGGAGCATGAGTGTGCATGAGGTGCACACTCATGCACATGCATGCTCCGGCACATGCACACTGGAGGCATGAGTGCCTGTGTCTGTGTGTGTGGACCTTTTGTACTGAAGAATCTCAGAGTGTCTCCTGGGAACCAGAAGAACCGGGTTCAGGGTCCTCATTGTAAATAGGAGGACCCCGCATGCAGTCCAGTGTTCACGCGGGGCACACTCATGCACAGCATGCCCCTCATGCATGTTCATGAGGGGCACCTGCAGTCCTGTGTGCACAAGGGGCACACAGGAAGCACTTTTTCTTCCAGTGTGCATGAGGTGCCACAAGAGAGGGGAGGAAGTTGGGGAAACAATATTGGGAATGTAACCCAGGGATACATGAATGATGGCAGCTTTGTGGGACAGTGCGATGGCTAAAACATCCTGGGAAATCTACAAAGGCCCAGCAATGTCCTGGATTCAGAAGAGTTCTTCCCTAAAAACAAAACAAAGTTTTAGGTGGGGTACCAAGACTAAGAGAAAAGAAAATCATAAAGCCTAATGTTATATCTACAAGAAACACCACTTTTCCTAATATTTTTTTAATGATCTGATTATCATTCAGACCTTAAGGAGCAGAAAGAGAGAGAGAACAGTAAGCAAGAGCGAGAGAAGGGATAGCACAGGAGGAGCCGTTGTTTAAGAAGTTTCTAGAAGTGAGTAAAACTTGTCTTCAAGAGAAGTTATGCAAGCTACCAGTACATAGTCAAGTTTTGGCTAGAAACTGTCTAACTGTGTGTTAGTTTTCTTGGTTGTATATTCACTCTAAAGTTAGAGCAAAGCTGTTGCTACAAAGGACTTTTGTAAGCAGCTGTGACTGTTAGAGTAGCACTTAAAACGTTATAGAAGGTCGTTACCGGACTGGTTAACGAGGACCTTGACTCCAGATAGTCACTGTGAGTGCCCGTGTCGCTCAGAGTACCTCTGGCACCGAGGGAAAGGAGAGAGAGGGACGTCGATGTGGAGAGCACATGAAGGCCACAACTGCTTTTTCCTGAGCTACTGTTTTTGGATGGTTTAGAGGGCTCGCTGGACACTGGGTGAAGTATCGCTTGGATTCGTTGGAGAACAAGGTACTGAGTTGACAGTCAATATCTGGACTGTTGAGTCTGAGGGAATCCTGATTCCTGAGCATCTTAACAGGCCTGCAAAGTAGATAGTATTTGCTGCCATATTATCTTAGTTTACAATACTGGGTTATATAACTAGTGTTTACCCTGTATGAATTTACTGTTCTGTGGGAATAATGTTTATTTTTTCTGGTTTGTCTAAACCCTAAACCTGTCATTTCCTTATTTTATTATAATTTTTGCCTAATTAAAGGAAGGTTATTATAAACATTTTGCTTGGTCTGTAGTACAACTCACTATAGCAGAGTTCAGGGCTGATCGAACCAAAATACTATAGAGAAAATAAGAGAGTATACAGAAACATAGAATCCAAACCCCACTTATTTCCGGAAGCGTGTAAGTGAGGACTACATCTGTCCAGTTCATAAAACAGAGAAAAATAGACCCTAAAAGTTTTGTCACATCAGAAACTGTGTATTCCCTGAACTTCTGACTGTCTGCCAACATCTATCTCACGAGATACAATGAGGGGATTCAGCCCTTCTTCACAAAAAGGTTTAAAGTACACTTGGTTAGTAACATCTTTTTTTCTACATATCCACACCTGGATGAGTTATTCCTCAAATGTTGGACAATAAACCACACTTCAGGTATAGAACTGCTTGTTATACTCTGTCTGGATGAACTCAATGGCAGGTTTTTCCAGAAGATATACGAAATGAAAATGTCACAAAGTTTGAATGCAACTCAGCTGAATTACGTAAAAAATGACTTTTGACTCTAGAGGGACATTAGACGGATGAGGTTAAAGCAGGACCTGAGCAGTGCTTTTCCGTATTTCCAGGGTGACATTGTTGACAACTTATTTAGCTTCCCTGAATACTGTGAAGCTAGTAAGTTTAAAAGGCAGAGCACCAAATAAATAATTTTATACTCTTGCATTGTATTGCTATAGATCAATAAACTTCAATATCATAGTTGTGTTTTATCAAACACATCTGTGTGCAAAACTCTTTCCACAATTCCTCAAACTTACTTATTGTCTTACTGTTTTACCACCTCTTCTGCTTTTGTGTCTTCAGTGTGGTTTTGGTACTGAAGAACACATTTAACATGTCTTCCCGTTCTTGGTGCTTTCTTGTACTGATGTGATTCAAAACATGTATTCTGTGAACAATTACATCCTACTTGGAGGATCTCTGACATTTCTTCTTGTATTTTGCAATTGTTGTCCAACAATTGGTCTGATTTGGCTATGAAAAATTTTTGCTAATGGCAATTATTAACAAAGTTAGTAATTTATATTAAAATTACATAGTCAGGGTACAACCTGATTATTAATAAACAATAGCCACATAGTCCCCATTATGGAAAGAGGCAATGAAAATGGCTTGGTGTTAAAATAAAAATAAATAAATTCATGTTTCAGAACAGCAAAACTACACATGTATGTAACAGTGATTCCCAACTCTGATATCCAGCATCACTGCAATGCATGTTTTAGATGAGTCTCCATTCCTGCAGACCTGATTGGGAGTTAATTCAAATTCCTGGTATTTGGTTTCCAACCCCAAATTCCTGGTTTCCAACCAGAAATTTGGGGTTGGAAACCAGGAAGCAACTGATTTAAAAATTTTATCCATATGCAAGAGTTTAATAACAACAACAACAAAATATCAGTCTTCCAATTAAAATTCTTTAATCATCATTAAGTGAACAAGCTACTAAAAGTAAAACCTGGAAAATAAAGAAATATAAATAGAATCAATCAAAAGATGCAAATAAAAACTATATTATTTAAAATGAACTTTAAATCCATAACATCACAGAGCTTCCTTTCCTGGAACTGTTCCTTCTCCTGGAACCAATAATAGGTTGATGCAAATGCATTTATGAATGACAGTTCTTCTACTCTTTGTTCCTTGTTGTATTGTCCTGGATTACCTACTTTATTATCAAGTAAAAGCCTCTAGAATACAGCAACTCTTAAAATCTGTTGTAATTAGACAAATATCATAACAAATCAAGTGAATATCAACTTAACACAAAAGTACTCTAACGGAACTGAAAGGTTTTTCTAAAATAACCCTTCCGGTAGACTGCAAGAGGAACTATATGACAGCTTATATTGAATTAATATAACCAAATAAAAAGAAAACCTTTGAAGGTTTTTCAGAGAACAGGAACAGAAACTAATGAGATGTGAAGACAGGAAACTAACTCACTGTGATGCTGCACTGTATGCAGACAAATGGATACACTGTGCTCTTGAGTGTTAAATATACTACAAAACAACTTCAGTGTTCACAGTCATTACAAACATACATACATATATATGTGTAAGTAAATAAAAACACGTCTGTTTCAGCACAACTATTGGGCAGGTATTAGTTCTCAAAATTATTCTCAAACATAAACAAAATCTATTTTTTTTCCCCATATCAATATTTATTCATCTTATTTCTCAGATCTTTACTGAGTGAATAAGTTTGAATAAAAACCACAGGCTTCAGCCCAAACTGGTTCTCCACCTCCAGCTTATTAGTTAAAGTGGAGTTCTGTGCCTGTTACTGGGCAGACACAGTCCAGATCTGGTAAGTCAAGATTCCCTGTCATCAGTGAATAAAAACTTGACCTGTACTAAATCTGTCTTCAGATAATTTTTTGTCCCAGTTATTACATTTCAACTTATGTGTCTCATTCGGTGAAATATTATTGAAAAGGAAATCAGTCAGGCCTGCTTCTTGTATTTTACACCAAGTCATGCATAACTATCTGTGACATAGCAATTGGAATAGCTTTCACAAAGGTGCAAAAAAAAAACACACAAGAAATTTGTTGTAGTTTTATCATCATGTCAATAATCAAGATCATCTTCTAGAGCATATTCACTAAGTTTTAATCTCCAACAACAGCTTGGAGCATAAGTCACACATGAAGTGAACTGTCAGAACGTTTATTTTTACTTTGTTGTCTCACTTCCTTTTTTCTAGTTTAGAGCCACAGAGAAAAAATGTTGGTCCTCTCTTAAACACCACAGCTGAAAAAAACATTTCTCACCAAAACTGTGTTATAAACTCATTGGCTGCTTTCTTCCACAAAGGCAGGGTTAATGTTTTCTCCATGTTTTGGGTGGAAATTCCCTCTGTCTTGAAAATCCAGATCAACACAAAGGCTATTGTGAGGGATGGGAATATTTTTGGGAGCTAAGCTTTGCTTCCTTCTCGCGCTCCAAAGACCCTCCTCATTTCTGGTGAAGAAGTCTTGCAGCTTGATAGTGTCCTCCTTTCGGCGTCCCCAGGACAGTCTCTTGGGAGACGTAGCAGCGAAGCCAGTGGATGTCGAGTTACCCATTAGAAAAGCTGAGAGCTTCACTATCCAAGGAGCAAATCTATCCAGCAAAACACAAAGTGTGGGAATTATTGTAAAAATTAATTACACATGTCAGAGAAACATGATTGTACATTTTCTTACCTTTACGGAGAAAATTACAACAGGTTGCTTTATTTCTGCTGATCTGGCTGCTGAAGTCTGGCTGCAATGCAAAAGACAAACTCCTCCATTTTAAAGTCCTGAAGTCATGACCTCATCAGACTTTAATTGTCTAATTAATCACATCACTAAGAGATGGGATTACAGATAACAGCTGTAACTGCAAAAGTCAATCAGTGTTGATTAACGGCTCTCTTCCTCAGCTCTTTCTGTTTACCATATTGTAAATAAACTTCATTCGTAGTTGATCAAACATTTTGATAGAAGCCATTACATTTCAGTTGATTTATCATCCCTAATGGATATGATAGTTTAGGTCAGATCACTTCTAATCATACAAAGAAAATTTGCTAAGTAATTATGAAGTAATTATGAAGTAACCCTCTGGAGTATTAAAGTGTGTGAACAACTTTAGATGACGTGACATGGTTCAGCATATATTTTCCAAATGTCAGGAATAAAATGTGATATCAAGG